GTCCATCAGTCTGTTTTTGGTCTGTAAACAGAATTTTTATCTTTTTTTTTTTAGATTTCACATATACACGATATCATATATGTTCATTTCTGTTAGGAATGTACCTAGGACTGGAACTGTGGGTCATGTGGTAACTTACATTTAACATCTCAAGGAATTGCCAGACTGAACTGCCAGACTTTTCCAAAGTCATTGCACTATTTTACATTCCCACCAGCAATATACAGGGGTTCCAATTTCCTCACATCCTTGCTCATACTTATTATTTCTCATCCTTTCTTTTTTTTTACAGCCATCCTTTTGGAAGTGAAGAGGCATCTCATTGTGGCTTTGATAGTGATTACTTTCTGTTACCATTTTTATTGATCCCAATGCCCACACTGCAGTTCATCCTTCCTCTTGTCCGTCCCCTCCTCATGATCCTCCCAGAACTCCTTGGTGCCCTCTGAAGAAAGTTTAAGCAGCCCAGGACATTGGCATCTGGCTCTTGCAATGCCCCCTCCACCCCCTATCATACCTCTTCTCTGAATCTCCAAATCTAGCATCTGCTCCTCATGGTCAGAGAGAGGCAGGCTTTGGGGTCAGACAGATGTGGGTTGGAATCCTGGCTCTGATGATCTCAGGCAGGTAGATTCACTTCTGTGAGCCTCAGTTTCCTCATCAGTTAAATGGAAATCATAATTATTCCCCCTGTCATAGGGTTCACTGAGACAAGTGACGTGAACTCTTTCGTGCAATGCCTCGCATTGAGCAGGGGCTGTATTCATCAGGGTTTGTTTAGTTGAAAGTTCCAGAAAAAAAAATTAAGTTCAACTGAAAAACACCTCAAACTGGCATGGAGGCGGTGGTTAGAAATGAATTGTCTCATGCAACTGAAAATCTAGGGATCTAGGAGTTGGGTTAACTTTGGGCATAGCTGGATCAAGAAGCTCCAATGTCGCCAAGAATCTAACTCTCTCTCTTGGCTCAGCTAGGTTTTCATCTCATCAAGCTCTCTTTTGGGTGGCAGAAACTCTTCCTGGCGCTATGGATCTATTATTCCCACTCAGTAGCAACTTGGAAAGCTACCCAACCACACCAGGGTTTCACCAGAAGTCCCACTACTGAATTTCATTGGCCCAGCTAGGATCATGCATAACCAACCCAGTCTCTTGGCTTGGGGGCGTGGACTGCTCTGATTGGCCAAGTTGGAGAATGTGGGAGGAGTCAACCCAAAATGACCTGAACATCTTCACATGGGCCATTAGGAGTCCCCAAATCCTGTTAAGTTTCATTTCAGGTACCTGAGATGGGAAGGCCACGGGACAACAGAAAGCTCAGAAATTAAATTTGGGAGGTTCAGTTTAGGGTCAGTTGAGTTTGAAATGCCTGCCAGTCATCAAGTGGTGCCACTGAGTCATCAACTGGATATGAGACGTGTTTGCTTGGTGTCTCGGTGGCTCACATTCTTTTTTATTGATTTTATGGAAATATAATTTCATTTCCTTTTGAAGGATGCTATGGAGAAGTGTAATTATTATGATGTATAGTTTCTCCACCTGGAGTTAATTTCCTTCTTTTTTTTCTTTAGGTGTCTTTCTTAGAAGTTCTGGCAATTCATCTCAATTCAACTTTCCAAGTGATAAAATCCGCCAGATAATCTGTAGGTAGCATTCTGTTTTCCTCCTGGGTTCTTTTTTGCTGAGGAATTCCTCCTGCCACCCTCCCAGGAATTCTCTTCATCTCTTTCCTATGTTGGGACCCCTGTTTTCTCAATCTCATGTCTTCTTTTTTTCTTTATTTAGCCCTCTGCTTTTGTGGAGTGCATCCTGCAATAACTTTCTGAGAATACAGGAGCATGCAATATAACATTTTTGAGCCCTTCATTTCATGTTTTGAAATGTCTTTACTTGCTCCTCACACTTGATCAGTATTTTAGCTGGAAATAGTGGTCTGGATTGAAAATCCTTTTCTGACAGAATTTCGAGTCCTTAAACCCTTTACCTCTTTCCTTCTAGTGTCTTTAAATGTACTCTTTATTCTACTGGGATTGAACATTCTTCCTTTTTTTTTTCTGGCTAATTGTTACTCATCCTTTAGCTCCCATGATAGATATTTCTAGGGCAGACCAATACCTATTGAATGAAAAACTACATTCAATTAGGTGACTCCCTTGACTAATTCTGGCCATTGAAATGTGAGTGGAGATGACATACATCACTTCTGTATGTCAGTTACTTCTGAGGAGGCATCAAAAAGCCCACGCATACTTCTCCAGTCTCTCTTGTCCTACTGTGGTGACTGAGGCACTGAGTTCCAAGATGATGCAGCCACAAGATGGAGGGTGCCTCTTCAGCCTGGACCCCTGCATGACTGTGTGGAGCTGAGCTCAGCCCATGTAGGATGAGTAACTCAAGAGAGAAGTAAACTTTGCTTGTGTTAAACTCCTGAACTTTGAACTTGTTTGTTATTGCAGGGAAACTTGACCTATTCTAACTAATACAGAGCCCAACTTAAATATGGACTTCCTGAGAAGTCCTGGATCACAGCTCCCAAACTAGATTACTTCCCACTATTGTAAGCATGAATTTTCCTATATGACCCTTGTCCCCATCATAACTATGTAATTATTTGTGTGATGAGTTCAACATCTGTCTCCTGTATCCCACCTCCAAGACCCCAAGAGGAGACAACAGTGTTTGTGTTCTTGCTGTAGCTCAGTGCCCAGCACAGAGCATGGCACATAGTAGGTGCTCAGGATACATTTGTTGAATGAAAAAAGAGTTTGCCATCCTTTCAGCCAAACAGGCAGCCACGAGCACAGCTCGTTTCTAGAGCATTCTCTCACACAACTATTGGTGTGATAGTGACATGAGAGGCAGGACAAGATAGATGGGTCCAAGGGAGCAAGGAAGTTTGATTAGGAAAGTGGAAAACATCTTTACACATCTATATGTTTCCTTCAAGAGAGTGTAATTTATTCTAGCAACTGCTCAGCCTGGGGGAGATTATTTCACTCAGGGGCTTGAGAACCAGGTGGAGAGGCACAGAAACATTCTTGGAATGCCTGAGAGACCCACAGTAAAATTCATGCACTGATGCCAAGATACAACCACCAGAAGACAATCCTGTTGGATTCCACTCAAGTGCAATTTTGTGTCTGCACCCTGGTGTTATCGTACTGATTTATGTTTTCAACTTTATTGGGGGCATCCTTGACATACAACCAACTGCACACGCTTCAAATGTTCCAGTTTCTCTGCATCTTCACCAGCACTTGGTCAGGTTTTTCATCTGAGCTGTTCTGGTGGGTTGGTGGTTGTATCTGATTGTCCTGCTGTTTTGCATGTTCTAGATGGCTGGTGATGAGAATCTTTTCATGGGCTTATTTGGCATTTATTTATCTCTTGTGAACAGTCTGTTCAAATCTTTTGCCTGTGTTTCTATTGGGTTACTTTTTGAGTTTTAAATGCATGATAGCTAAGAAGATTACCCCTGAGAATAACAGTAGCTCTCCTGCTGTATGAACTCTATTTGTGATCCTTTACTTCACAAGTAAGATGGGTATAATAATTATACCTAACTTATAGGGTTACGCTGAGGGTTAAATGACTTAAGACAGAGAAAGCCAGTGGGACCAGGCTTGAGGGAATCAATTCGGATCCCTGGAGAAGCCAGCTGTGGAGACTCAGAAAGAGCTGGGAGGAAGCTTTTAGGATAGCTAAGCTCCATAATCATTCATTTAGTCATTTAACAAATAGTTTCTGTGCTTCCAATCTTTGGCTTGGCTGTGTCTTTTGGCTGGACACCCACCAAAAGGCAAACTCAGTTTTCAGGTAACAAAAAGACTTTGACAGTAACAATTCCCAGTAAAGTTGTGGTTGCTGTGTGCCAGACAGTGTTTTAAGCATTTTGCATATTCATTTCTTACTTCTCCCAAATCCTAGGAAGTAGGTATTCTTGTGGGACACAATGGCATGGTGATACATGGGTTGGTAAAGGAATTTACCAGAGATAAAGTGTGAGAATAGAAAAGGAGTTTATTAGGTTTCACTGTCATAGACAACAGCAGGTCACACAGACAAGAGGTGCCTGTGTGAGCCCCAAGGGCCAGTTGTGGGGTCTTTTATAAGGCAGGGTCACAAGGTGCTGATCGGCTTGTGTGCAAGTCTCTAATTGGTTGTAGGTGAGGTAAGAGGTTTGGGGTCGGTGAAAGGTGGTGGGGTTTGACTCTGATAAGGTAGGCGGAAATGAACTAGCCTGGGCTACTGTGATATTAGGCACTACCTGGGGCTATTAGTTTGTTAGGGGAAACACGCTCAGTAAAGAATATACTTTATCTGTTGAGGGATCACAGGCAGACATCTGAGAACCCAGAAATGGGGGTCGTTGGACTTTGAAGGATGTCTGTTAGCTTGACGGGTACTACTATTACTACCCCATTTGGCAGATGAGGAAACCGAGACAGAGCCGCCTGGCTGCCAGTGTCTGTCCATGACTGTTAATGCTGCTTTAGGGGCATGACGACAACCAGAGACAGACAGTAAGTGGACTGACAGATCCCGGGAAGGGTGGCAATGAAGGCTGGGCTGGGGGAGCCAAGGGCATGGGACGAAATGCCAGTGGGCTGAAATGCAGGATCAAGTGGGGTGCCTGAACCTGAGGAGCCTGAGGGACATCTCTGGGGGGGGACAGGTGGCAGCTGGACCCTGGGTGGGGACAGAGATGGGGGATGCAGATGTTGTGGCTTTACTTGTAAGGAAGAGGGGTGAAGGGAAGGAACTGAGGGTCACACTGTGAATCATCCTCCTCCTCTAGGGAGGAACCAGCTGTGGTCATGGTGGGGGGCGGGGAGCTTCAGCCATCAAGCCAAACAGAAAGGATCACCTATGGCCACCCCAGCCCACCTGTCCCCTGTGAGGCTGTAAGCTCTCCTTTTCCGCAAGTTGTCTGAGCACCTACTGTATGCCATATTGAGTGTTGAGGAGCCAACAGTGACCAAGACGGACAGAGATGCCTGCCCTCATGATGTGGTGGAGACAGAGGTGATCAACATAAAAATTATAGGGTAGGGAGGGTATAGCTCCATGGTAGAGCACATACTTAGCATGTACGAGGTCATGGGTTCAATCCCCAGTACCTCCTCCAACTATAAATAAATAAACCCAATTACTTCCCCCTCATAAAAACAAACAAAAAATTATACGGGGGAGGATATAGCTCAGTAGTAGAGCACGTACTTGGCATGCAAAAGGTCCTGGGTCCAATCCTCAGTACCTCCGTTAAAAAAGGAAATAAATAAATGAACCTAGTTACCTACCCCCCCTCCAGATTTTTTTTTTAAATAAGAAAGACAACATAAAATTTATATATAAATGTAAGATCAGCACTATGGTCTGAACCTTTCCCAGAATTCATTTGTTGAAATCCAACTCCCTAAGGTGACGGTATTAGGAGGTGGGGCCTTTGGGAGGTGATTAGGGTGAAATGAGGTCACGAGGGTGGAGCCTCTAATGGGATTAATGCCCTTATAAAAATGAAGAGACACAAGATATTTCCATGTACAATGCACCAAGGAAAGGCCCTGTGAGGACATAGCCAAGAACAGGGGCCTCCCCAAGATCCCAGCCATGCTAGCACCCTGATCTTGGACTTCCACCCTCCAGAAGGATAAGGATTAATGTCTGTTGTGGAAGCCACTCCACGTGAGGTATTAGTTATAGGAGGCCAAGCTGACTTAGACAATCAAGTTGCGAAAACTTCTCTGGAAAAAAAAATAGAGCAGGGAAGGGTAGAATTTTGAAGGCAGTCACACTGCAGGAATGACATTTGAACAAAGTCCTGAAGGAGGCTGAGGGAGAGCCATGCAGGTATCTCAGGGAAGAGAGGTCTAGGCAGAGGGAACAGCTAGTGCAAAGGTCCTGAGGTGGGAGGGTACCTGTTGAATTTGAGAAAGGAGGCAGGAGTGGCTGAAGGGAAGTGCATGAGGGGAGAGCTGAAGAAGGGAAAGTCAGGGAGGTGACTGTGCTTTTGTTAGCAGATAGAGGGACCCCTAAATTAGGAAGCCCACTAAAGTGTGGGTCCTTGTTGCTGGCTGTCAAAGAATTCTTGCAGCAGAGACAGAGGGACCTAGTGAACAGTTGATTTATTGCTCAGAAAGGGAACTTGAAGGATAGTGTTTAAACAGGGAAAAGGAAAGAAAAACACTCAACTGGGGAAAGGAAGCACTCGAGCCGGGAGCTATCAGCCAAGGTGGCCGGTAGAGACAGCTCCAGCTCCCCATCGGGCCGCGGGGTCTTTTATTAGAAGGCTCAGCCATCATTGTCTTCATTCCAGTGGTGGTGGTAATTATTTTCGGCTACTGGCTCCTTCCACCTCCAGAGTGCAGCCCTGAAACAAAAAGCAATTAGCAGAAACTTCGGTGGGAACAAAGGAAGCAATACTGAGGTGTTTTCTTGGATTTTAGGGAGCCAGCTGTGGGATAAGAGAAATGTCCTGCCTTTTCATCAGCTTTTCATCAGGCACTTCCTTTCCCTCGCTGTTAATTAGCCAGAGTCAGTAAACTTGCCTAATCACCTCTCTCACTTTCTTGCCTTCTGCAGGTGGCACTCCCTCCTCCAAATCGTCATCCAACTTCCTTCTGCCAGCTGAGGACAGAGCCCTTGGGCCAGCCACTAGAGGCCACTCTCTCTGCGGTTCCCAGGGTCACTATACTCATCCTGCCTTTGAGGTCATGGTTGGCTTTCACTGAGCCCTGCCTCAAATGCCATGCTAAGCGCTTTACCAGGATGAATTCAGCTCGTCCTCCTAATAGTCCTCTGAGTTAGGTGCACTGAAATTTTTTTCAGTTTTATTGAGGTGTGATTGACGTAAAACAAACCGCACACATTTAACGTGTACCATGTGATGAGTTTTCAAAAGCTGGAAACCATCACCAGAGTCAAGGTACTAAACACATCCGAGCCCCTTTTATCCCTTCCTCCCACCTCTCCCTACTCCACCCCCAGGTAACCTCTGATGTGCTTTCTATTACTAAAGATGAGGTTGCATTTTCTAGAGTTTAAATAAATGAGACCAGAAAGTGTATACTCTTCTTTTTTGGTCTGACTTCTTTCCCTCAGCAAAATTATGAAGATTCGTTTATGTTTAAAAAAATATTTTTGGCTTTTTTTTTGGAGGGGTGGTAATTAGTTTTATTTAATTTTTTAACTAGGTTCGTTTATTATTTTTTTAATGGAGGTACTGGGGGTTGAACCCAGCATCTCGTGCATGCTAAGCACGGACTCTACCGCTGACTTATACTCCTGCTACCCCTTCATTTATATTATTACGTGTATTTGAGCCCCTTTTTGCTCAAGGGGAAACTGAAGCACATAGAGGTGTGGCTTGAAGGGGGAGTTTAGGGGAGTGGGTGTCACCACACACGTTTCGGCCCCCTCCCCGCCCCAGGCTGAGGCTGGGTCTGGGTGCGCAGCCCGCAGAGGGGCGCTCTGATCCCCGATCCGAAGCGGGCAGGTGCAAACCGCGCAGGGGCCCCGCCTGGCGGTCAGTTCCCAGCGCCCAGAGGGGGCGCGGCCGGGGGCGGGGCCAGGGGCGGGGCT